TTTGCCCCAGTCTTTAAATGCTTCTCTAACCCACTATTTTTCTGCCTATTCAACAAGCTACCTTAACCTTAACTCTTACCATACTTGCAATAATACTTTTTTCCCTGAAAATATGTTCTTCACAACTCATTTTCTCTAAGAGGTTATTGTGTTTAAATTGTTATAAAATTAATAACAAAAACAATGAAAAAGCCAAATTCCTTTTTTTTTTTTTTTCTTCAAATTTCATTCTCACCCTTCAATTCCTTTTCTTTCTGTTTTACTCAGGCACAATTTCTAGGAAATCTTTCCTCTGGTCTCATTCACATCTGCTCAAACTCTTTCACTTTTTCTTTATACCTTCCAACCCCTTCCTATCCATTATGTCTTCCATAATTTGACCTCAACATATCTTTTCAACTATTTGTTCCATAATTCATCCTAAGTGAGCCCCTACTCCAAACTGGTCCTTTACTGTTCCCCAAATATGGTGGGCTCTCTCCAGCCCCCATAGCTTGGCACTCACTATCCTCCCATTCTACAATGCTTTTCCTAACTTCTTCAAGAAACCCAACCTGCGGCTGTCCTCTACAAGCTGTTGGACAGAACTACGGCTATTCTACTTTTACTCTTCAGCTTCCTCCAACCCCTATCTTTCCTGTTTTGTTGTCATTCTCCTCTATGCACTCCAAAGACTTCCTCTTGTTGCAAACCATGGACAATCCTTTTCCTCCTTGATGATTTATATGCTGCTTTAATTCCAAACTTTCCATTATTCTTTCTTTATCCTGGCCTTTATCTTAGTTTGGTTCATGCTGCCTTCGAGAAGGAACTATTCTTTGATTATTTCTTTTGCCTCATTTCTCCATGAGCATCCTTCAGGCCTACAACAAGTGGACAAATCTTTCACATGAAATATTTAGGCTACATTTTTAATTCTATACCCTTATTTCCTGGGCCAATAATAGAATGGTATCCATAAAGGACAGCCATTCCTTTGCTGAATGGAGGAAATGATTCCTCCTCTATTCAAATGGCCCTGCTGACTAATTAAAGAAATATGTCCAAACAGCTCCCAAGAAGAACCCATATGTCATCCAAAGAATTAAATGTTTTGAAAATAAGAAGAGCCACTTGGTCCATTTTTCAATAGAGATTGAGAACAAAGGAAAAGAAAGAGATGAATCAGAATTCAAGATGCAATAAATATAGACATTTCTAGCTAAATGTAAGAAGAAAATATTTAAGCCGAGGCCTCTGGTAAGGCAAAGGCCATCATGTATGTGCCTAAGGGTTTTACCACCTTTGAAACATTTGCCACTAGCTTTGATCAAAGTTGAGCCCTCAAAAGGGAAAATGAGACATAAAAAGGTCGGGGAATAAGAATGATAGGGAGTGGATAGAAGGCTTTGGCATGATACAAAAAGATCTTTAATATGGTATGCTTCAAAAACAGTGGGGAAAAGAGAAAGAAAACAAACAAACAAACAAAAAAACAGCATGCACTTGAAGATGTCAATGCTTTGTGGGAGTGGATTTAGTAAACTACAAGGCACTATTCCAATGTAGGCTATTTATTATTATTCAACAGATGTGCAATTATGTCTCACCCTCTGCTGAGTGATAAATGGTATTAACTGTGTCCCACCACCTCTCCCAAACCTACAATGACAGAATTAGTTAGAGAAAAACAGAACATTGGGATGGAAGGGCTTATTTCTTCTCTTAAATCCACATTGCCTACTTGGTAACTGAGCTCCTGTACACCAAAGTAGTAGAAATGAGAGGCAGAAGCAGAATGCTGTCTCAACTTGGCTGTCTGCCTTCAAGGATTAAATAAAAATGCGTGTTTATAGAAGTGGAACAGCTGCTTCAGCTAGTTTGGATACCCACTTTTGAGTCCTCAGGATGTTCTATTTTTCTAAGTCCACTACTCTTATAGTCTCTGAAAATTATCAGACTAAAGAGTAAAGATACATAGATGGTTTGGGTCCTCGGTCTCCTGGAGACAACAGAATTACTTCCGCCTTCAAAACCTGGCATAGCAGTTGAAGTAGGCACCATCACAATATTTCCATTCTTGGGCTATATTTTTTAAATGGCTAGAAATTCTTCATTATCGTTTCACTTAAATACTTGATGCTGTGCCACAGTTGAATAAGCCATATATATATACATATATCTTATACACGTATACACACAAAGCCATAAATAAAGCTTCTCACTTTGTAGGCACTCAATATTAATTTCCTTCACTCTTGTTTTTATATTGAAGCTCTGTGTTCCAGCATATCATTTTATAGATATAAACAAATATTTCTGCTATAGTGCAAGTTGTGATATAATAGAATATATGATATGATATGACATGACATGACATGGGAGTGACAAGAATAGATGGCATGTTAACTGAGTCTTGGGCTACTAGTAATTGGCCTGGTGGAAACTGGACCATATAAAGAAAAGGAATTCAAAGTCTAAGGGATTTGCATTTCGAGAAACAGTAAAAATTTCTCCTGAAATTGAAGCAAGTTGATACAAGAAAGGGTAATGTAAATTTAAATGGAAACTATTTATTACTTGTTTTGCTTTTCCTTAAAAAAATAGGGACAGGGAGAAAATTTAGAGCAAAGCAGAGAAATTAATTTTTACTAACAATCAAATGCAAAAGAAATTATAAATATCTGTCAAAAACAAGGCTAAGTGAACTATTTTTGAAGCAACCAAAAAAAAAAAAAAAAAAGACCCCTGGGCAAGAAATTTTACAGTCATCCTCTTTCTAGGTCGGAACTCTCTTAGAATGAGACAAAGAAAAATCCGGGCCTGGAATAAGAGGAAGACATTAGGAATCCTTTCACCACACTGACAGAGATTTGTTTAACAAACAGACGAAGGGTCAGAGTAATCAGATATCACAGGAAAAGGTAAGGAGAATAAAAAAGACTGAGAGGAATAAATGAAAAATTGTGACTCCAGAGTAAAGGTTGATACATTTTAAAAATATCCATGAGGTTAAGTTAGGTGGAAAGAAAAAATAAATTATTAGAATATGATAAAGGAAAGAAAGAACCATTCTTCATGTTTCTCCACCAGAAAGCATTCAGTATGCTGCACAAAAATTAAATTTGATATTTTAAGGTACCTGAACAAGCACTAAATGAATTCTGGGCCAAAATAAAATTTTAAATTCCTGATACCCACTCTATACAACACAAAGCAGTGGTGGTGGGGGGTGAATGCTTCCACATAAAAATAAATGACTTGTTTTGGTTTACCTTTATAAGGCATAAATGGAGGGCATTGTAAAAGTATACGAATAGAAGCCAAGAATGCTAATTGTGTTTTTTTAAAAGAATAGAAAATCATGAAGAAAGGATCACAGAAACTACACCAATGTCATTAAAATATAATTGGACTTGCAGGAACAATTACTGTGCTGTACTGTAAGGGGAGCTGTTGGCACATAAGAGCAAAGCACACATATGAGCTCATCAGCCGGCCTTGGCAAGACCCACTTCCAGCTAGAAGCAGTCATGTTTCAACACCTCTGATTCCCTAATGCTGACAAGCTAAACAACTTGTTTTGTCTCTGGGAGCTCTTCTCTGGTGATTAACTGCTTATGGTGAATACTAATTATATGAAAGTACAGTACTGAAGAAGTAACGTCCTATTTCCTCTACCTGCAGCCTCGACTTGTCTCTGAACCTAGAAGGCAGAGCCATTGCAAACCAGAACCAAGAGAGAGATTTTCCTCCCCATGAATAAACAAATGTATCTCCTACTTTTTAGTATAGCACAGCTCACTGACAAGAAACTTCCTTTAACCTCTGGGCTCTAAACCAAATATAATTACCATAAAATGAGTGTTTTAAAGGCTTGTAATAATGATATGGATAAATCCACAGCAAGAGTTTGTGAATTAGTGAACTATCAGTGTTCTCCATTCCCCATGTCCCATGTTGAAAATTTACCCCAAATTGTCAGTTCTTAGGAACTGCACCTCAGATTAAAATCTTCTCACCAGGGAGTCTATGAGAATTTCTTCTTGTGTTTTAAATCCTAAGTGCTTGTTAAACCGCCAACACTGCAAAATTAGAGACCATTAAACAATATAAGGCAGCAAGTGATTAAATCTACCAAACACACATTCAAGCAGCTTAAGCTACTTTTTAATTAAAAATAAAATATCATTGGCTAAATTCAGATGTCTTAGCTATCCAGAAAAAAGTTAGAAGGCTGTTCAAAATGCATAATGTTGCTGACAAGCCAGATACAAAAGGAGAAACAGGGCAAGGGTTTGGCGGAACAGGAGGCTCCTCTTGGTCCCTGGGTCTGGGTGGCAGCACATCCCAATGCTGACCCGGTTTAGGCAGCGGACTCTAAACGGGAAGTCATGGCTGCGCTGCAGGGTGAGGACGCCATGTGGCTGCTGATTAAATAAGCTTTATTAGCTAAGGCCTCCAAGGAGACAGGGTGTTCCACCTTCTTGGCAAGGGAATGAGTTGAGTAACAGCATCGCAGGAAGCTAAGGCATTGGAGATGTATACATGGCTGAAGGAAATGTCAGTGACATTTTTAAATACAGCTTAAGCTAATTGATAAACATTTCTTAAAATAATTATTAGCTTTTGGGGAAGGAGGCACAGGGGCTTCTGAGTTAATGGGATCATCTGAGATTAAAAGAAATTTTTACTGTAAAGTTAGAAGTAAATAAACATTGTAGCTTTAAGTTGTTCCTACATGTTTAAAGTAAAGAAAAAGGGCCAGGGGGCTTAGTCAACTTCAGGCAAAAGGCCAAGAATCTGAAGATCAGACTTAAGGCTGGGATGATATCATTCACGCTAAAGTCTTGATACCCTTTCTGAAGCATGAGAAAATTTACTGGTAAAACCTTACCTCACCCACAGTTTTCTTATTTTTAACTCTATTTTTTTTCCTCTGGAGAATAATTTTTCGAATATGCTTTTTGCTTTATATGTAAATGTTATAAATTTACTTTGAGCTTCAGACATGGTCTTACCTAAAAAGCTTGCCCTAAAGTAAAGTACAGGCACTTGGTAGCTACAGGAATATAAGACATGATACTCATATTTAATCACTTTGGACGCTGCTGCAGTTTCAATCACTTCACAATCATCTGAGGGTAGCTCGAAAGCCTCCTGAAAAAAAGCAAAAACAAAATGAAAATAGGTTTGTTAATAAGAAAAGTACTAACATGGAGAGGAAAAGAGGAGATTTTCTTCTTGCAAAATAACAGTTAAATAAATATAAGGCTATGAGACAAGGAAAAGGGAGTTTCCCATATTAATGTTTAACATTTGAGTCCTGGGTAAATAGTAAAACCAGAAAACATTAGCATTAAGTAATTCCAGATTGTTTTTGAGACACAAAGAAGCTCTGTATAAAGAAAAAGAAAGGAAAAAAATTCCAAAAAGATCTTTTGCCTGAAAAATCTTTACTGTACAATTTTAGCAACAAGATGATGGCTATACAAGCTACCTTCTTCCCTACCTGTGAAAGCTAAAAACATCCTAACAATTGAACAAGAGGCTGTGAAATGTCCCTAAAGATTCTATTGTACTTGCCAAAAGATGATTCATTGTGTGCTGAACAATTCCCAGTTCCATTTTGAATAAGAAAGTTATTTTGCAAGAGGTTGAATTTGTTAGGTGTATTTCAAAACCTGAGATGATTCTGTTTTCCTCATTATTGTGCTATCTTTGGCATATTTCTACAATAAATCTTGATTTATAATAGAGTAGATGGCAAATATTAATGTCAACTTTGGAAACAGAGTTTTGTAAGCAGAGATGATGATAGTCATCTCACTTCTCACGTGATCATTTTTTACTGTTTTTTGTTGGGGGCCTTTAAAAGAATGTATCTTACTGTTTAGAAGCAATTAATTGGACATGTTGAGTCAGAGTCTGGTTCCATCCACATTCACTTATTTATTGGGGTTGAAGAATTTCCTTTGAAATTAAATTAGTACTAGAAGGAATGAAGCAGGTTGGTTTAGCTCATTTCTACCTCTCATTAAAATAGTAACAACAATGAACAATCAGAAATAACTAAGGAAAGGTTTCACACTTTATCAATATGAAATAAGGTTTCCTGTGGAGATAAGCAAAGCCCCAGACTACTTTCAAGATCTGTATCTCCTTTACAGATAATTCTGTAATTCCCTACTCACAGTCAGTTCACTGGGGAGATATTACAATGGATAAATCACAACTGGAGATGTTTACAAAATATTTTTCACTAAACTCCAGTAAACACCATCAATTAAACACAATAAAATAACCAGAGAGAAATCATGGAAATAAATATGCCAGATACAGAAAATTAATACAGTAGCAAGAAAAAGATTTTTGTATTTTGTTTTGTTTTTAAATTTTTATTAGGCATAGGTATCTGTACCTTCTATTACATCAATTCTTTTAACCAAATTCTTTCTTTTTGGTTAATAATTGGGTTGCTTAGCATTTATAATTTCCTTTCTTTCTTAATATTATAAAATAATTCTATCTTGGTGGTAAAAATTACAAATATTGCACAAGTACATAAAAGAAAAAATGAAATTCCCCTCATCCCAGCACTCCTATACCTCATATACATCATTAACAGGCCAGAGTGTATTTTTTTAGACTTTTTGATTTTTGGCACACAAACACATAGACACATATACACCTCCTCCCCACCCCCGCCCCTGCTTAAATCCTGCTATATATACATATGATCCTAGAGTGGATATTTTCACTCATGGGCATCCTGCCACGTGCTGCCAAGTCACTGCTATAGATTTAGTGCCTTTTAATGCCTTCTCTATATTTCACTGCATGACCACACCATAGTTTTTTTTTTTTTAACATTTCCATATTGCTAGATATTTTAGGTTGATTATAGTTTTCTGCTACTGACAAATAAGGCTGCAATGAGTATCACAGCACATATACCCTTGCACACCTCTATTTTTTCTATGGTGCAGATTCCTAAGGGTGGAATCACTGTATCAAAGGGTATGAGCATTTTAAATTTCAAGAGATACTGAATCTCAGAAATTCCATCCTCAGAAAAAGGCTGTATCAATTTATATTCCCAGTAAAAATGTCTGAGAATGCTCTTTTCCTATGTCCAATAAATACTGAATATTGTTTTTAATTTTTGCCTACTGATGAATTTTTAAGTATCAATTTCTTATTGTTTTAATTTCTAGTTTCTTGGTTACTTACTAGTGAAGGCAAGCAGCTATTCATATGTTTATTGGTAATTTGTATTCTCCCATGATTTGCTTGTTTTTACTCTACTATTTTCTGATTGTTTGCATTTTTCTTATTGAATTATATAAACTGTTTGTATATTGGAAATAATAACTTACTATTAGAGATAAATATGTATGTCTGCACCATAGAAAAATAAGTGTGCAAGGATATATGTGAAATATAGACATATGTACACACATATATATAAAACACTTTCTCTCTGTTTTCTTTCAACTGTTTGTTGTACTTTTTTTATCACAAAGGGTTTTCTTTTTAACTTTTACGTAGTCAAATCTGTACATTTTCTGTTTATAGCTTCTAAGTTACATGTCTTCATCAGAAGGCTTCCTGCTGTATCCCACCTCAGTCTTACAAATTATAAAGATGTTAAATTTCTTTACTATATACACGTTTTTAAACTAAAATTTAGATCATTAATCCAACTGATTTTTGTTTTGTATATAGTGTGAGGTAAGAAATTTTCCTAGATGATTTCAATAGTTCATCTTCTTTCCACTGATTTTAAATGTCACCATACCTCTCTCTCTCTCTCTCTGTGTGTGTGTGTGTGTGTGTGTGTGTGTGTGTTTATTCTCTAATCTTCTCTATTGAGCCATTTCTCTTCTTAGACCATCACTGTGCAATTCTTAAGTGCATACTGAATTGAAGGATTTGGGTCATTAATTTCTACAGAAAAGTACAGAAATACACTGTCTGAGACCCAGTGCTGCTAGTAAAGATACAATTTTTGGAAAAAATTTCTTCACCCAAACTGAAATTAAGCACTCAGTAATGTGCTGGGGTTGACATCAGGTATGTGAAACTGGTGATCAATTAGGCATAGATCCATATTCTCTAGGAGGCTCAAGAAATAAGAGGGAGAGGACAGAACAAGCTTCTTGAAAATCCTGTTAGAAGTCTCACTCCAGTCACTGTTCTCACTGGCAGCTGAGTGCCTTTGTGGGTTGTGAAGGCCAGGGGTACTTGTCCTCTAATTAGGACTGCTACTATGTCATCCAGTGTTGCTTTGGGCAGTCATCTACGTACAGTGACATTTTTGCATGCTTTATTCATATTAGATGAATTTGAATCCTTCGTTTGTGTCTGCTAGGATCTTTCCATCATTTGTGGTCACCTTCATGATGACCATGAAAATATCATTCCTTGAAGTCATGCAATTTGGAAATCTCAGACTTCTACACATTTTCTGCTTTTTTTTTCCAGTTAAAAGTGCCAGATGGTTTTAGAACTTCAAGACTAAGGTTCTTCTCTTACTCATTTTTGTATTCCTGGAGATTCTAGTACAGAGCTAAGAACCCTAGTAAGCAACATTTTCTATTTCAGTCTGAAGATCTGTTTCCTCCTATGTAAGTACATTATAACAAACTTCATAGGTAATTTACCAGCAATCTCACACCACCTTAAAGACTAAAAAGAAGTAAATGGAGGAGCAGAGATGCAAAATATCACCAAAGAGGATATTCCAATGGCAAATAAGCACATAAAGAAGATATTCAATATCCTTAGCCAGTCAGGGAAATATAAATTAAAACTATAATGAGGTATCACTAAACATCTGTCAGAATGGCTAAAATAAACAAAATAGTGGACACCACCAAATGTTGGTGAAGACAGAGAAACTAGATCATATATTGCTGGTTGGACTATAAAATGGCGTATAGCCTCTCTGGAAAACCATATGACAGTTTCTCATACAAGTAAACATATAATTACCACACAACCTACCAATTGCACTCAAGGATTTATCCCAGAGCATTGAAAAACCTGTGCATGAATGTTCATAGCAGCTTTATTCAGAATAGCCCAAAATTTGAAACAATGAGGTGTCCTTCAACAGGTCATGGTTAAACAGACTGTGGTACATCCATACCATACTATTTAGAAATAAAAAGGAACAAACAATTGATATACACAACAACCTGGATGAATCTCCAGGGAATTATGCTAAGTGATAAAAGTCAATCTCCGAAAGTTATATACTGTGATTCCACTTATATAACATTTGTGAAGTGACAACACTTTTGAAGTGAAAACCAGCAGATTAGTGTTGGGGGACTGGAGGGCAGAGAGCTGGTTATAACAGGGCAGCATGAGATATCTTTGTGGTGATGGAACTATTCTGTATCTTGACCATGGTGGCGGATATGTAAGCCTACACATGTGATAAAACTGTACAGAACCAAATACACAGACACAGATACACACAATGAGTACAAGTCAAACTGGGGAAATCTGAATAAGGTCAGTGGATTGTATTAACGTCAACATCCTGGTTCTGATATTATACTATAGTTTTAGAAGAAGTTACCACTGGGGGATATGGGTAAATGGTAGATGGGATTGTTATTTCTTACTACTAAATGTGAATCTATAGTTATCTCAAAAAATTTCAATTAAAAAATGGAAAGCATAGGAACAGTGAGGCAATTTGAGGCTTGTTAAAAACAATAAAAATGTTAAGACCTCAAGGTGCTAATAATACAGATAACAGAGGGATCATGTTAATAAAGAGAGTCTAATGTCTGGGATTTGTTTGAAAATAATACAGGAGAAGGGTAAGTGGATGGAAGTGTAGAAGGACCATGACTGGCATGGAGGGGTGATTGCTGAGATTGTTTGATGAGTCCCTGGGTGTTCATTATACTGTTCTATCTACTTTAAGGAGTATTTTAAATTATTTAAAATAAAAAATTAAGATAAAAAAAGTTTCTGATACCATGTTACAGAACACAGAATGAAGAGAATTCTAATAGTGAAAGAAACCTGAATCATTCCACCTAGTCCAACACGCTCATCTTGCAGATACAAACAACAATACCCTTCTTGTTGGTGCCTTACCCAATGCCATCTAGGTACAGTAGTTCCCACTTATCCAGAGTTTC